TGCGTTCTCTTGGCAAAACTCTATTAGCCTTTGCCCTGCTTCATTCTGTACTCCAAGGCCAAATTTGCCTGTTACTCCAGGTGTTTCCTGACTACCTGCCTTTGCATTCCAGTCCCCTGTAATGAGAAGGACATCTTTTTTGGGTGTTAGTTCTAAAAGGTCTTGTAGGTCTTCATAAAACCGTTCAACTTCAGCTTCTTCAGCATTACTGGCTGGGGCATAGACTTGGATTACTGTGATATTGAATGGTTTGCCGTGGAAACGAATAGAGATCATTCTGTCGTTTTTGAGACTGCATCCAAGTACTGCTTTCGGACTCTCTTGTTGACTATGATGGCTACTCCATTTCTTCTAAGGGATTCCCGCCCACAGTAGTAGATATAATAGTCATCTGAGTTAAATTCACCCATTCCAGGCCATCTTAGTTCACTGATTCCTAGAATGTCAACATTCACTCTTGCCATCTCCTGTTTGACCACTTCCAATTTGCCTTGATTCATGGACCTAACATTCCAGGTTCCTATGCAATATTGCTCTTTACAGCATTGGACCTTGCTTCTATCACCAGTCCCATCCACAACTGGGTGTTGTTTTTGCTTTAACTCCATCCCTTCATTCTTTCTGGAGTTATTTCTCCACTGATCTCCAGTAGCACATTGGGCAGCAAGTTAATTAAAACATTGGTCTCTGTTCCTTGTTCCAAAGGAGGTTTCCAAAAGCAGAGTCACAGGTGGACAAAGAGGACTATCATGATGAACTGGTAATTCCTAGCTCTATGACTAATATATAGAATTGAGGGTTTTTTTTTTGTTTTTATTTCAAAAGCATCTTATTTCCCTAAGCATGGTCCTAGGGAAATATACCAAATTGTTACTGCAAAATATGTATTAGAAAAATGAATCCCTAAAAAAGGTAAAGAAACTACACCTTTATAGTTGCTAGAAAATATACTAGCAACTAATTACGTTGGTCTTATTCAGATAAAAGTTTATTTTAAGCCTTAAAAAATATGAAGCTTTTCATTTCAAGTAAGTTACGGAAAAATACTAATGAATACTCAAAGGAAAAAATGAAAGGATTAGTATCTTTTCATGAGTTAATATATTACTCAGATAATAAAAACCAATTCCTCTGGAAAAGAAAAGGGTTATATAAACCTAACACTATTTTTTCCCTTAACCACACCTACTATAATTAAAACCAACTCAGGTTTATAATCCTACTGCCAATTCATCACCCAACCCTGGACATGTGAATAAAAACCTTCCTTTGTCAATCTAGCAAAGTGTTAGCTATTTTTTTTTAAAGGCATACAGAGGATAATGGGGGCCAAAATTAATTTTTTCAAAATCTAGATGAATCTGCTTCTGATCTGAGACAATCAATTCCCTCACAGATTCTTTTGGGCTGAATAAAAAATGGATATTTACTTTCAGGGAACTGATATTTTTACATCCAATCTCAGCACCATCCAATCAAAAAAATTTTGTCAATCAACTTCTATCTTAGGTAAAATATTCCTAAATTTGGAATAATGTTTCTAAATATTTAATGAAAACTCTGTAAACAACATGTACAACACACAAGGCTGAGTGTTACAGAAGAACACAGAGATCTAGGTACGATTATAACTCTCTCAAGGAACTTATCCATTACCAGAAAGCTGAAAGAGACCCACAGAAGCTCTGCACCAAAGAGCTTAACACCAACTAAAGAACTAGTGAGAACTTCAAAGAGGAGACGGCATGTGTCGTACCACAGGGACAGGTTTCAGTACTGCCCAGAAAAGAGTGAGTCTCACAGGAGCTGAGAGATTATGCCCTCTCTTTAAAGGCACAGAATTACCTGAAGAGCTTTTTCAAATTTTTAATTTCCATATACTCTTTCCTTCCTTGATAATCGCTCTCCATAAGTCCTTGCCTCTTGGTTGAGAATTACTGCAGTGAAGGCCACTATTACTGCTGAGAAAAATACTGGTAGTATATATTCCTTATATATATTTGGGCAGGAAAAAAATGTTGACCTCAGGCTATAAATAAAGCTCTAAAACTCTGTAACTGTACTTTGTACAACAAAGTATGATTCTTTGAAGGGCTTCTTGCCTGCATGTTTAAGAACAAGAAGTATTTAAATGTGAAGCAGTGGAGGGGCTCCCCTCGTGGTCCAGTGGATGAGAGTCCACCTTTCAATGCAGGGGACACAGGTTCAATCCCTGGTCCAGGAGGACCCCACATGCCGTGAAGCAAGTAAATCTGTGTGCCACAGCTACTGAGCCCGTGTTCTAGAGCCTATGAGCCCCAACTACTGCAGCTTGCATGCCCAAGAGCCCATGCTTTGTGACAAGGGAAACCACCGCAATGAGAAGCCTGTGCACCAAAATGAAGAGTAGCACTTGCTCATTTCAACTAGAGAAAGCCTGCACACAGCAACAAAGACTCAGTGCAACCAAATATTAATCAATTAATTAAAAAGATATGAAGTAGTAGAGCTCTTCCACTAAACACTTGTAAATATCATCTATAAAATTCCATGATGTTTCCCTTTCATAATTTTTCTACAGTCAAAACAGCAATATGCCCTCTGTTTCCCAAGTACAAAATGAAAGTGACTTATTTAATATTAACAAACTGTGTTACTAGAAAATAAATGAGGTAATATTTGGAAAACTGCTGAGCACATAGCAGGTAATTATTAGCACTAAGATAATTCTCAAAGAAGGAGCCTGATAATAATGGTAACACAATGATATAGCAGTTGAAGAAAATGTCAGGTCATGAATTTCTTTTCTTTCCAAAAAATTCACTTTAATACTAAATCTAAACTGTCATACAATATTGGCATACCTGTTCTACGCCTTCTACTTCTGGAATATAAAACTGCAGCATGTTCTGAATTCCATTTTTCAGAGTAATGATTGAACTGGGGCAGCTGGTACAAGAACCTTGGAGTTTCAGCTGTACGATGCCATCTTCAAAGCCTTTATAGATTACATCTCCTCCATCTTCCTGCACAGTTGGCCTGTAGACACAGATATATTTAAAATAATATGTTTTTATTGAAAAAACTTAATACAACATAGAGCTTAGATTTTATATTAATAAATTCATAAAGTTAGAGTCACTTTTATAAACAAGAATAACAACAGTTAGTAGCTAGTCTCATTTGTAACTTTCAGATAAAATGCCAATTCATTCATACAAGAACTTTATCTGCTTATTGCATCTTAATCTTGTATATCATTTAAGATTTCAAATTTCCTAATAATTATACTGATTACCTAAGATACACTCATTCACTTTTTTTAAGTAAATGGAGGGAAACTGCGATGTGCTGGCTTTTTTTTTCCCAGTTAAAACTTTTCATTGAAATATAGATAATTCAAAAAAAATGCATAAATCACGTATGATCAACTCAGTAAATTTTAACAAACTGAACATATATATGTTCTAGACCAAGAAACAGAACACTGGAACCCCAGAAGTCCCCCCTATTCTTCCTTTGGACCACTCCTCCCAACCAAAGGTAGCCATTCCATTATCCCAACTGCTATCACCACTGACAAATTCTGCCTGCTTTTTAACTTTATAGTTTATAAACATAAATTCCATTTAGAAAACACAAAATATTAACTTTTTTAATCTGGCTTCTTTTTCTCTTTGCAAGATTCGTCTACATTGCGGCATATAGTAATAGTTCATTCAGTCTCACTGCTGCAGAGTATTCCATTAAGTGAATATGCCAGAATTTATCCATTCTTTTTTTAATATCTATTTTTTACTTATTTATCTCTTTGGCTGCTCTGGCTCTTAGCTATAGCATGTAGGATCTAGTTCCCTGACCAGGGATTGAACCTGGGCCCCATGCATTGGGAGTATGGAGTCTTAGCCACTGGACTGCCAGGGAAGGACTCCTTCTATTGTTGATGGACATCTGGGTTAATACCAGCTTTTGGCTTTTAGAAATGGCACAGTTATGGAGATTCTTGCAAATGTCCTATGGCATACTAATAAACTACAACTGGGAATGTACCCAAGAGTGAAACTGCTCATCAAGAATATGTTTATGTCCAGATTTAGTAGCTACTGCCAAACGGTTTCCCAAAGTTATTTAAACTTATATTCCTACCAGCAGTACACGAGAGTTCCTGTTGCTCCCCAAACTTGCCAACAATTGGTGGTGTCAGTTTTAATAATTTTAATCATTCCAGTGGATCTGAAGTGATATTTCATTACAGTTTTAATCTGAATATCTATAAGGAGGTTGAGTACTTTTTCATGTTTACTGTCATTTGATTACTGTCTTTCATGAATTGCCACTCCAGTGCTTTTGTGCAGAGACTGCTCCAGGCTCTATTTGATTGTCTCTTTCTTAACATTATGTAAAAGATTTTAAATATATTCTGACATACATACTACAAATATCTTCTAATCTGTGCTTTGCTTCTTCACGGTAAGTGATATCTTTTGATGAAGAAGTCTTATTTTTATTATAGTCTACTTTATGTCTTTCTCTTAAATTTTCTTATGTCTTGTAAAAAAAAAATTTGCCTATCTGAAGGTCAGGCAAATATTCTATTTTAAATTTCCTTTGTGATTTCTTTGTTGACCATTGGTATTTTTGAAGAGCACTGTTTAGTTTCCACATATATACAGATTGTATAGATAACTTTTGATAACTGACATCTAGCTTAATTTAACTGTAGAAAATAATATTTTCAATGATTTCAATCTATAAAATTTGTTCAGGGTTGCTTTATGTTTCAGAATATAGTCCCGTTTAGAAAATCTTCCATGTACACTTGAAAAAAAATAAGTACTTTGTTCTTGTTGGGTGTAATGTTTCATGTGTGTCAATTTAGTACGATTTATTAATCATTTGTATAAGACTCTCATATCTTTACTCATCACTGTATGTGTTTGATCTACTTGTTACTGAGAGAGATGTGTTGGTCTCCCACTGTAGTTGCGGATTATCTATTTCTCATTTTAGTTCTGTCAAATATTCTTCATCTCTTCTGAAGCTGTTATTAGATGCATATGTTTAAAATTAGTGTATATTCCTCAAAGAAATTACCCATTATTATTATGAAAGATTTCTCTTTATTGCTATTAATGTCTTTAGCTATAAAGTTTATTTTGTCTGATACCTGTACAACTGTACCTGTCTTCTCTTATCCATTCTTTGCATGCTATGTATTTCTCCATCTTTCTACTTTCAACCTTTCTTTGTCCTTATGGTTAAGATATGTATCTCTTATAGGCAGTACATAGCTTTTTTTCAACAGGCAATCTGACACTTTTATTTCTTGTTAATTAACCTATGTACATTAACTAATATATTTGGGTTTATACAACCATCTTATTATTTATCATTTTGCATTATTTTGGATTAAACAAGTATTACTTTATTATCATTCTACTTTACCCCTCTATTGAATTTTGGTTATACGGTCTTTTACTATCGATTGTTTATAAGATGTCTACTTGACTTCTTAGACTCTAATATAGATTAGTGCAGACTTCCTAGATGGCTCAGTGGTAAAAAATTAGCCTACCAACACAGAAGATGTGAGTTTGATCCTGGGTTAGGATGGTCCACTGGAAAAGGAAATGGCAACCCAATTCAGTATTCTTTGCCAGGAAAATCCCATGGACAGAGGAGCCTGGCAGGCTACAGTCCACAGGGTCTCAAAGAGTCGGACACGACTGAGCATGCACAGCACAGCAAAATAAAATATACTTTTATTAATTCCCAGATAATGCCAAAAATGAAGAACATTTATACTTATCACCTTATACATTTTTGTCATGTATTTAAATTCTACATATATTAAAAAGCCTACAGGATATTGTGAGACTTTTTTTGTTACATATTCTATGTCTATCATTTTTTGGGGCTGTATTTTCCATTCTCTTTTCTTTGCTTTAGCTGGATATTTTCTACTGCCCTTTTAATACATTCCAGTACATTAATCTTCTCTCCAACAGTATCCAATGTGACATTCGACCTGATGAATTCTTAAGTTTAGCTATTGTATATTTTAGTTTCAGAATTACTTTTTCTTATAGATTCCAGTCTTCTGATGAAATTCATCTGACTTTCTGTTTTCTCTAATGTTTTATTCACAATCATTTTAAAGATCATGTCTGATAACTCTCACACCTAGGTTATCAATGGATTTGTTTATTTTCTGTTGGTTCAGTTTCCAAATTCTATGCCTAGTAATTTTGGGGACAATAAATGATGGACAACATATATGAAGAACAAAAGTGACTTGTGGAATCAGAGGGCAGACACACTAAAACCAGAATCACAGAAAACTAGCCAATCTGATCACAGGACCACAGTCTTGTTTAACTCAGTGAAACTAAGCCATGCCGTGTGGGGCCACCCAAGATGGTCGGGTCATGGTGGAGAGGTCTGACAGAATGTGGTCCACTGGAGAAGGGAATAGCAAACCACTTCAGAATTCTTGCCTTGAGAACCCCATGAACAGTAGGAAAAGGCAAATTGATAGGATACTGAAAGAGGAACTCCCCAGGTCGGTAGGTGCCCCATATGCTATTGGAGATCAGTGGAGAAATAACTCCAGAAAGAATGAAGGGATGGAGTTAAAGCAAAAACACCACCCAGTTGTGGATGGGACTGGTGATAGAAGCAAGGTCCGATGCTGTAAAGAGCAATATTGCATAGGAACCTGGAATGTTAGGTCCACGAATCAAGGCAAATTGGAAGTGGTCAAACAGGAGATGGCAAGAGTGAATGTTGACATTCTAGGAATAGGTGAATTTAGATGGACTGGAATGGGTGAATTTAACTCAGATGACCATATCTACTACTGTGGGCAGGAATCCCTTAGAAGAAATGGAGTAGCCAACATAGTCAAGAAAAGAGTCCGAAATGCAGTACTTGGATGCAATCTCAAAAACGACAGAATGATCTCTGTTCATTTCCAAGGCAAACCATTCAATAACACAGTAATCCAAGTCTATGCCCTGACCAAAAAGGCTCAAGAAGCTGAAGTTGAATGGTTTTATGAAGACCTACAAGACCTTTTAGAACTAACACCCAAAAAAGATGTCCTTCTCATTACAGGGGACTGGAATGCAAAAGTAGGAAGTCAAGAAACACCTGGAGTAACAGGCAAATTTGGCCTTGGAGTACAGAATGAATGAGGGCAAAGGCTAATAGAGTTTGCCAAGAGAACGCACTGGTCATAACAAACACCCTCTTCCAACAACACAAGAGAAGACTCTACACATGAACATCACCAGATGGTCGACACCGAAATCAGATTGATTATATTCTTTGTAGCCAAAGATGGAGAAGCTTTATACAGTCAGCAAAAACAAGACCGGGAGCTGACTGTGGCTCAGATCATGAACTCCTTCTTGCCAAATTCAGACTTTAACTGAAGAAAGTTGGGAAAACCACTAGACCATTCAGGTATGACCTAAATCAAATCCCTTATGACTATACAGTGGAAGTGAGAAATAGATTTAAGGGACTAGATCTGATAGACAG